CGTCCAAAATCATCGCTCGTATGCACAGGTGGACAATCGCGCGAAGGAGGAGAATGAAGGCGTCACAAGGCCACTTATCGAGCCCACATGAGTGTGTAAACACATCATATATAAATGTGATAGCGGCGATACAGCTTCCCTTCTTTCCCCGCGCTCGCATCGCGACACGATGTATGTATAAGAAAGAGACACGTATACTATATATATATATATATACATTTATTTTTAATGTACATATATATTCTTATTATATAAAGGAAATTTAAGGGATACGTAACATCATGTTAAAATTTTTCAAAAGCGTTCCACTTCCTGAAAAATTATTCTCATTGGTTTTTTATATTTTACTGGCAAATTGCTGATAACTTGCTACCTCTGGTTGTGTAAGTATTCCTTTATAAAGTACTTTTGATTTATGTATTATATTATACGTATCGTTTTCCATTGATAAATTTTATACGGAAAGAATAAACATTTTGACTCTTTATAAAAGGGGAAGATTTTGACTCCTTATAATCCTTGTGAGGCAAGAAGAGCGTAGAAAGGCAATGAGAGGAGCGAGAAGGCGTAATAACAAATTTAAGGACAGCGAAGGGGCTAAGAGGGCATAAGAAAACCTTAGTAGGAGAATGAAGGGGGGGGGGCAAGCAGCTGCAAAAACAAAATGTGGGGCAGCAAGAGGGGCTAAGGGATAGATATTAAATATTTTATTGCGTTAATTCATCACTGAAATGAAAATAATTTTACCTTGTTTCGGAAAGGGAAAGGAGATGCAAGATGGGCATGAGAAAACCTTAGTAAGAGAATGAGGGGGGGGGGGCAAGCAGCTGCAAAAACGAAATGTGGGGCAGCAAGAGGGGCTAAGGGATAGATATTAAATATTTTACTGAGTTAATTCATCACTGAAATGAAAATAATTTTACCTTGTTTCGGAAAGGGAAAGGAGATGCAAGATGGGCATGAGAAAACCTTAGTAAGAGAATGAGGGGGGGGGGGCAAGCAGCTGCAAAAACGAAATGTGGGGCAGCAAGAGGGGCTAAGGGATAGATATTAAATATTTTACTGAGTTAATTCATCACTGAAA